TAGAACTGTGTGTTATCCTTATGCTCAGTATAATCCACAAATTTATCAATACCTAAATCAAGAAGTTGGGTGGTGAGCGTGGCTTGTATAGATTTTACATTATTAAAGTAAATAACTGCAGAATGCACGAAATTTACACGGCATACATTTAGCCCTCTGAATGCATCATCATGTGCAAACACATTGCTGATCACACGGATGATTTGGAGGATAGGGAGTTCCTTAGTATTTTTGCTAATAAAGGCAGTGCAAGCAAAAGGAGAAGGGCAAGGAATAACGATAAAGTCAGAGATTTCAGTCTCCATTTTCGTATCGTCTTCTATGGGAATAAATTCTTGAGTGTCGAGAACATTTGGAGGTGGGGTGGTTTGTCTGACGTAAGTATCTTCAATAATATTCTTATCACTAACTAAGGATGGGTTGGGCTTTTCTCTGAGGTGAGAAGAACCGCTAGCCTCTGGTTGCTTAGCTTTGAATGAGTCGTAATGACCTTTGTTAGTTTTGTTTATAGAAGTTTTTGTAGATTTTCTAACTATTTTGTAAAATTTTCAAATAAAATAAACTCTTTCAAATGTATTAAACTTTTAGTAAATAGTGAGCTAAAGAACTATCTAACAGAGTTGTAGATTTTTTAAATAAAAGTTTTTAAAGCGAAAAAATTATATTTTTTTAGTAAATTTCTAATAATTTAAAAATTCAGGGTGAAAGGAAAAAGAGTTTTTTTTTGAGGATTCGTATTTACTTTTCCTATTCTTTAATAGATTCAATACTTCTTGTATGATATTGACACGATCTAATTTAGCCTGCAAAATAGTTAATTGCTTTTTAGTTTTAAGATATCTACCTGTTTCTTCAGTTAAATGACGTTTAATTTCTTCATGATCTTTATTAGCAAGATCTATTTCATTTAAATGTTCAAATTGCTCTCTGATTTTAATATGACGAACTACTTCTTCAGATAAAATTATTACGAATGGTTTCTAATTGGCGCTTAGTTTCAATCTTTATGTATATTATTTAAATTACTCTTTGTAGTTGCTAATTGCTCTTTGGTTTCACGATGCCTTCCTACCTCTTCGATAAAATTTTTACAAATGGTTTCTAATTGACGTTTAGTCTCTTCCTGATCTTTATTAACAAGTTCTAATTCAGCCAATACAATCTCTAATCACTTTACTGTTTCATGATGTTTAGCTGCTTCTTTAGTTAAATTATTACGAATGATTTATAATTGTTCTTTGGTTTCATGATGATTATCTGCTTTTTTGGTTAAATAATTAAAAATTGTTTCTAATTGAAAATTAGTTTCTTCTAAATTATATTGCGTAGTTGCTAATCATTCTTTTATTTCACAATGATTATCTGCTTCTTTGATTAAATAATTATAAATAGTTTCTAATTGAAAATTAGTTTCTTTTAAATTATATTGCGTAGTAGCTAATCGCTCTTTTGTTTTACGATGATTATCTGCTTCTTTAGTTAAATAGTTACGAGTTGTTTCTAATTGAAGTTGAGTTTCTTTTAATTGGGTTTTTAAAGTTTTGCAAGCTTTGGTTTCTTGTCCTAATGAAATTATTTTAAATTCTAACCGGTTTCCTAAATTTTTAATTCCTTCAATTACCTTGTTCTCATTATTTTTACTATCGAAAGCTTCTTTTAACCCATTTATACTTTCATTTAACTTTTTAATATTTTTAATCAATTTTTCGCTTTCTTGATATTCATTTATCATCTTTGGGAAATTTTTATTATTCATTTGCTTCATTTATTGATATTGTTGTATTCAGTTCTTTCATTTATGTATTTATAAACAATTTTGTAAGCAGAAGGTTTTTATTGAATAATTATTGAGTAATATTGAAGTAATTGTGACAAAATAAATATCAAATTAATCAGAGTTGCCTCAACGTCAGTGCTCTACACTTTTGCAATGTTAATATATTAGACTAAGTAAATGCCAATCAATAAACTCTAATTAAAATTGCGTAATTAACGACAATTACGAAAAAATTGAATAATAAAAATAATAAGAAAATCAGAAATTAAAAATGTTAATGCGAAAATATCACGAAGGATTTATGTATGCAAAATATAATAAGAGCAGGGAAAAAATAATTATTAGGCCAGCCTGACATCTTTGACATTTTGTCATACTAGACACCTTAACAGCTGGTAAATGATCAAAAGACTGCAAATATCGAAAGTGAATTACATATGTATTATAAGAGTTTTCAGGCAAAATTATATTTAGCGTAATAATATACTAACCAAATAGGATTAGAACACATATTCAGCTCTAACAAATTTAATTTTTGTGGATAGAAATCTCAATGGTCGCCCAAAAAAGGATTACTCGAAATTAAAAGTTATTACGATTTATATAAAGATGAAGGAAGTTAAATTTAGAAACATAAAGTCAGAGAATTATTCAAATGATTATCAAAACATACTACATACTTATATCTCTTTTCGCAATTTAAGATTTTACTTTTCTTTATGATTGATAATAAGTTCTTTTTTGTTAATCAAAAAAAAAAAATAAATTAACGTAATATTTCATTTGGAAAAATATTACCAGGATTTATGTAAATTAAAGCAGGGTATATTAATACTGATTTTTTTTTATATTATTTTATAGTTACAAACAACAAGAGAAAAAGTCATTTAGAAAGTCCAATAAAAATTTTATAATTAGGATAATGTATATTAAATTTCATAATTAAATTTTTTTGTTTCTTTTTCACAGATATGTTTATGCTTACATTAAAACCTATCATTATAAATAAACCCTATAATAAGGAGTTTATTAGATAATAACAAGTCAAGTTCTCTATTTAAGAGTTGTTTTACATTGAGGATTAGCAAATCAGCTTAGTTTTTTATTATAGATATAAATCACAGAATCTTAAATTGTTTTATGAATCAAAAATGAAATGTAATCATGCACATATACCGTTGGAGTGCTGACTAAACAAACCCATACAAAATACCCTCCTAGGTTTTAAATCGAAAATTTGTAAAAGACCCCTACTTTATAATAGTAAAATCTGTTGTATGACCTTATGTAAAATACCCAGGATTTGGGATGATTCGTGCTCTAAGCGATCTTGGAATTAATGCATCATTGTTCATCTAACCATTCCTTGTATGCAAAATATGAGATATAATAATCATAAGATCTGTAACTGGTAATGCTCCCATATTATAATTTTCACAAAGCTATTAGCTAGCTTATAATAACAAGACAACGGATCCTCTTATGAGTTCATAATATATTATAATATAATCTATAATTAAACGTAATTAATATGATATATTTTATATTAAATTAATAAAGAAGCTTATTATTTTGAAAATAAAGGATCTTAGTTTTTGTCTGTGTTTCATATAGTTTAATATACAAAGGTAAAATTCGCTAGAACGATTTAATACTAGGCGACTATAAAATTTAAGTTTTTTTTGGAAAAGGTTCTGCTGATTTAATTTTATGAAAAAAACGTGTATTTCTTACAAGTATATTATGATAGATTATTGGAACTTTCTTAGAATAAAATTTCATTTTAAATTTTTAATGTTTGCATAGCATATTCTTTAAGAAAATTATTCATATATTTTAAAGTATTTCTAAAATTATTCAAGTTCATTATTTTAAAGTTTATGACATTTAACATTGAAACAATGTGCCTATATAATTTAAGCAATTTTAAAGTTAGAGTTTAAGATGCCTAATCTTTTTAAATTTACATATATAAATCTTAAGGCTTAACATATTGTTTTTTAAAAATATTAAATAGCTTAAAATAATTCAAACATAATTCTGACATACTTATAAGGATAAAAATGAAGAATAGTAAGAAAGGGATAAAAATTCTAATGAAGATAAATGAAGAGAAATGACCAATCAGAA